CCTCTGCGGGGTGTTGATTTTTTACTTTGGAGTGAACATTAATCTGAACCCCTTCAAAACTTGACACGAAGCAGTATAGATTTGTCCAACCATCGGGGATACTCACTCCCAAGTTATGGCAGCTGTAAATTCGGGAAAGTCATGATCAACATTTGGGTAGCCTGTTTATTGCAATCATTCGTGATTTATGAAAAGCTGAAAGGTGCAAATTTCCAACAACCAGTAGGGAGTGGTAAAGGTGAACCGCCCAAACGGGATGCAAACTGGTGACCCCTTTGTTATGTTTGCTGGCTTATAAAACGTGTTAATTAAATTGTAGAAATATTTGCCGTAAACTTAAGGGTTCTGTCAATGACAATCCACGTGTTTTCTCTGGGGCATCACCGTAGATTCTGTCTGGATGTCGGAGACCGGTTAGCATCGACGGATTGCGCTGCGCGGGGCCTAAGAGCCTGGCCTAGCAGTGATTTCACGTGGAGCAGTTGGCACCGATGGAAGCATCTCGGCCTACTGAGGGTGGTTCAGAGACCTTCCTGGCGGACTACGGTTAGAATGATGGGGAATCACCGTGGAAATCACCTGCTTTCTTTGAGGTTGGTGAATCATCCTGTTTCAGCTATGGATCATGGTTACAACCACGATGAATTAGGAGGTTTGCCTGAAAATAAGCCTCAAATTTGAGGGGTTGTTATCATTTTGCCCCATTGCAGTAAGACTGCCATTGTGTGGGTATACCGTAAGACCCCATTTTCAAACACAATGGCTCAAAAATGGGATGGATCTCTTATGAATGGCTGCAGATTCAAAAAATGGCCAGTTGACGCAGTTGTCAACCAGTAAACTAACTTCATGTGTCATCTAAGTAATTATATCATTGGAACTATGATTTTAAGCCCAGACTGCATGTTCGCCATCATGGTGTAGCTTCGGCAGAAGTGTTTAACATGGCCGAAACTGCAGAAACGTGAGTGCTGGGTGAACGACTTTGAGAGCTGCGTATGGATGAACTGGAAAAACTGGGGACTCTTTAGGGAATATTCAAACGAATACATGTGAAAGATAGACAGATGACAGATTAGCAAATGTCGGGAAAATACATGCACATGTGTGTATGACCTTGTGTGTTCTACTTGTATCTACGCATCGATATTTACACCTCCGGGCCCTAGTTTGGTAGATACCGGGCCTGTCTCCCTGGCGTGGGGATGGGATGGGACCATTCACTTGATGCTACGCTAGATGCGTTTTCTGTGAGCGCAAACGGCGAAACCAACTCCCCCAAAAGGTCGCTGCGAAACTCAAGCGCCAAAATAAGAAAGAAGCATTCAATTCAATGCTGTTTTATGACATCAAATTCGCAAACCCTTGCAAATACCTCATAGAAATGCTCAAAACAAATTCACCACTGAAATTGACCGGGGTCCGCTAAAACCGTATGAGACGCATATATTACATACCGCCACAGAAACTGGAATATAAAAAATGGCAAAACGCTCAACCATCTTACCCTGTTTCTCCATAGTGTATATACATTGTGTATACCCATCTACATCTATTTTGTCCGTGCCTCACGCCTGATTTTCTTCATGGAATGCAACCTTGCTCGGGAAAAGCGCAAGCTTCATTTTTCCCATGCATATGATCAGTGGTGATCAAAAAGGAATCGGGGCGGAACCCAGCAGAAATTATTTCGCTTCAATCACCGAACATGGGAGTGGAAGGAAGAACAAAGGGGAGCAAGCATTCATAGGAGGTGGTGTAACCAGTATAGTTGGTGTTATACCAATGTAACCTCGAGAAACAGTTTGTAGTTAGTATCAATTGTGATTATCGTATACGATGGAATCGATGGACAACTTCAACGTACGTCATTTTTTCAAAGAATTTAAGGGTACCCCCCCCAAATAATGGCTCAATAAGCCCCATTGATAGGGGTTGATGGAGGTCCATTTTCAACGGTGTCAGCGGTACAAGGCGACAAATGAGAAACCACTGGGAGGTCCCCCAGTTTGCAAATTACCCTCTGGTAATTTAACGTAGCTATTGAAAATGACCATTAATAGTGGATTTTCCCATTAAACATGGTGATTTTCAATAGCTACGTTAAATTACCAGAGGGTAGATTTACCAATTTTTCGGAATCAGCGATTTGCCAAAAAATGGGGGCCAGATGGGTCAGCCAGTGGATTGGCACACTTTTGGAGCTCTTGGGAGCAACTGTTTTTGCAGCTGCATTCACCCAGAAATTTCTTCAAGGCATCCAGTCCTGCACTGTGCATACATTGTATGACATATATAATATAACATATATATAATATGTACTGGGTGGTGGTTTGCAACATGAATGTTATTTCCCATAATCTATGGGAATCATATACTCCCATTTGACATTCATACTTTTCAGAGGGGTAGGTCAACCACCAACCAGTATATATATATATATGAACACCATTAAATAAACCATCCAAAGATATAGAAACCATTATATAATAGGTCAACCACCACCACACTCCAACTATTAACACATCACACGAATCACCTGGGCGATTCTTCGTCAGCTCAAAGGCGGTTAATCGGCCTTTCACACCACAGCAGACCACCAAAAAGCAGCACGTTTTAAGGACGAATCCGCGGCGCATCGATTTCATGATCAGTAACCCATAGGATCCATGGTGCTGGTATATATGCTAACATAAAGGTGGTATATTGGTGGGATCTATGTTACCATATATAGCATACATGGATCCTATGATTAATGGCTATGGATGGGGTCAGATCTCTAAATCGCCATGGTTTTATGGTTCTCCCGATGGGTTGTATCATGTTTTGTTTCTTCGCTTCATAAGATCCGTTGAGATCCGATGGGATTTGTTCACCCAGCGCCATCGCGCTGTTTTTTGGCCCGCCCAGACTTGTGTTTGTTCCCGATCTCTGGAACCGCGCCCAAAATGTAATGTGGCCTACGTGTTGTCGAAGCTTGGCTTGTGAGACCTTTGAATTACCCCCCCGCTTCCGAGGGTTTTAATGGGAAGCCCCGAACTAAATGGAGCAAAGTTGGATTTTCCAGGAAACCATGTTTGATGATGGAGGGTATGCTCATGAAAAACTAGCATCCCTCCACCATTTGACACTGCCATGAGTTGGAGGTTGGAAGAGTACTTTCCAACAAAAATTGGCGATTTTCAGCGTGGAACTGTCTTTTTTTTGGGGAGGGTTTTGCATATGGATCAAAACTTTAGTCCGATCTCAAAATGAACTTTGAGTTTTTGGAAGTCAGTTTAACACAATCGACAATTAACTTTAACATTGCAGATTTTGGAGGTCATCCTAGGATATATGGTTCATAACCCATGTCATATGAATTGGAATAAGCCTCCCCTGTTTAATTGGGTAATAGAACAGTGATATATATATATATACATACATATTATACATACAAGTGAATACAGACTTATTAAAAAAAAGCATAGTCATGAACTACATGCAGGTTTGAACATGTTTTTTTTCTTGACCGGTTGGATTCGTTTGAATATGTCTGAGCTTCGTGCCGCGTGGAAGGTTCACAAGTAGCAGGGGCCCCTCCCTGTCTGCTGCTTGCCGGCGGGAAGCATCTGGTGACCAGCGGTATGATGATGTATCTGGTTGTATATGTGTATATTTGCACACATCACACATCAATAGTCATCTGGTTGGTGATTGGAACATTTGGATTATTTTTCCATATATTGGGAATAATGATCCCAATTGACTAATATTTTTCAGAGGGGTAGGTCAACCAGCAACCAGTGTATATTTGCACACATCATCACACATCAATAGTCATATTCTGAACATGTCTAAACTCTGTTGATCAGCTTTCTACCGGCGGTCACCGGTTGAGTTCTTCTGCTGCACATCTCCAAGTCCAATACAATTTACCAAGGAAACCGCTTGGTAGGCGCGCGGCGCTGCGGTATTGTCAGCATCTACCATCTTTTGAGATGGACATCGACTGTCCGAGGTACTACATATATATCTGGTTGGTGGTTTGGAACATGAATTTTATTTTTCATAATATATGGGATAATCCTTCCCATTGACTTTCATATTTTTCAAGATGGTTAAAACCACCAACCAGATATGAAAAGACAGATATTTCTTGTAAAATTATAACAAGCTCACTGCGACATCACTGGAATAATGGTTATAGTAAGGAGAATTATCCCAATGTGGATCAATATGGTCTTATTTCAGGTTAGTGAATTATTATAATCTGCCCCGATATTTGTATCATTGCAATACATGTAATGATGCATGTATATACAGAAGAACAGAATTTCCCACAGATTCGCCTATGTATATACACATTTACATACGATGCGTCCACACATACATCTCTATGTATGTACATATGTATATATATATATATATTCAAATATATATACAAACATATATATATATTATATCTTATATATATAATTATATATACATGTATATGTCAAGCAGATTATGTTTCTCTGGCACTTAGGGTGTCCACAATTCTGTGGGTGTTTTGGCCGTTGATGGCCAGGTCTCCAGATGTTGAGTTTTGTTCAACATTGAAATTTGGGGTGTAGGGTGTTACTTGGTAGATGTCTGTGGGGTTTGATTTTTTTTGTCCATCTACTGTAGGGGTATGCCTCAATTCATTACTTAATGGACTAAGCTAAGGAAGAATACTAAACTTGAGACTACCCTGTCCGTTCAGTTGGCATACCATTATATAATGCCATCACCAAATGCATTGGGCTTACCTCCTCAACTTCTGACCTTGTTCAGAATTTGGACATGTCGATTGCTGCCACCAATTTCAAAGTCTTTGACCATTTGAACTGCAGCTGCCCATCTGGGATGGTCGTGGTCAAAACTTGCCATCTGCCAGGGAGGTGGTTGAGTTTTCACATTGGAATTGTAGGAATTTTACTGAGAATTGATGAGAATTCTAGGTGTATCAAACTGAGCTTGACTTTTCGAAATTGGAGATGGACTACTTGAATACTGAGGCATTATTTCTTGCACTGGCAGTTGGTACGAATTCCTGCCCCCTAATATTGAACATTATTGAACTAAATCCACCCTTAAGTCTTGGTGTGGTCTTGGATCTTTTAAATCTAGGTCCTTTATTGCTACTGTCGTTGTATTTCATATCAGGGGGAAGGGATGTAAATTGGGGTCATGTCCTCAATTCATATCTCTGTCGTTTCAGCCAACCCCATCTCTTTTTCAGCCCGAGGTTTGGCTCGAGGCGCGTCAAAAAAATGGGCTGCGGTGCCACTCGCGTTTCACCTGAGCATCACTGGCGTCCGCCGGCCCCGAAGGTGCTAGCCGTCCCGGCCAAGCAAGGCTCTCAGCGCGTGATTTCGCGGCATGGTGTCGTCCGACAAGAAATGGTGCGAGGCTCTCAACCCTGTGTGGCTCCAGTCTGCGACTTCACTTCGCTAGGTGAAGCTAAACTGCAGATGGACTTGCTGGGATCGGCATGGGTCAAAGTTGGGCACCGAACCGAAGATGTTGCGCAAAGCAGTGCTTTGGGCATTGAGAGTGACGTAAAGACATAAACTAAGAGTTCTTGGGACGCAGTTCGAGTTTCTTTTGGGATAAATCCATTCTCACCATGACTCGACATACTGCTGGGTCGGAATCTTCAGCAGGGCCTGACCTTGCCTACTGAGGAGTGTCAAAACGCAGAGGCACCAAGGGGGGTGCCGCTTCCACCTCTTCCAAACATTAGCAGCGAATAATGTCGTTCCTTAAGCCCCTGGGAGATTTAAGGGGGTACCATTCGAGTAGCAGATTACATCACTATTTACTGGTACAGCTAATCCCAATAATTAAATTAACCAAGTTCTGCGCATTTGGGGGTTGACATTGTATAATATAAAACAGTCTCTGAACACAGAGCTTTCAAATACAGGTCTCAAGCAAATGGTTCGAAACAGTTTCTGAGAGGAATCGTGAAAGAACCACCTTCAGTTGCCTCTTGATTTCAGCCTCATGAGGGTGAAAACGCCAAGCGTGCCCATGCACTATTGAATTCTCTTGGCTTTTTCCGATGTTTTGCGATGTTTCCTTGAAGAGTCACAAAATGATCAGATGGAATATGCAACGCGGCATCGCGACAAAAATCAGGGTCCTCATCGCTACCCTCTTCTGATTGCTTCTGAAAGGGTGAACCGGATCCGGAAGCAGCAGGGATTCCCCCCAAAATGCAGCACACTGGAAAGCTTGTCACAAAACAGATATCTGGACGAAGTGGGTTGCCGAGAAGACCTAGACTTTCAAAGCGGCCTAGACTTTTCAGGATTAGATGGGTTTATCATGGTTTATCAAGGTTTACCATGGTTTATCATCTATCCCACTGAACCACTGAACATTTAACTTTTAGCAAGTAATTCAAAGTACAATATGGTAATCAAACGTGGCAATCGGAAATCCGATATATATAATTATATATTATATATAACAAATAAATATATTATGAATTATGACAATATTTACACACAACTGTATACACATATGGGTCTTCATGGGAACATCATCGATAGATGAGGGGTTTTCCAGGAAGCCACTCTTGACACCAGAGGGTATAACCAAGGGACGATGATCGCTGGATCACACTCCCTAAACAAATCTCCCGCGTCCTTGGAGATTTTTCCCCATATTTAAAGGTCACCCTCTGGTTATTTAAGATAGCCATGGTATAGATGGCCCATTTATAGATGGTTTACCTATAAAAAATGGATGGATTTTCCATGGCAATGTTAGTCATAACCAGATGGCATTTAAAGACTGAATTTTTCCCAGCTACAAACCTCCGTAGCAAAAAGATTTGTAATTGCCATGTTTGATTACAAGAGGGTATATACTAATACTGATAGTGATACAATAGAAATTCTCACGAGTACAGTAATGATTATGATTATATTGTCGATACCAATAATAATGTTACTGATGATGATGATGTTGATGATGATGATGATGATTATCATGATAATGGTAACAACAGTAATATCAATAATGACCACAATAGTGTAATCATGATTAAGACGATAACAATGACAGAAATAGTACGATGCATCGTCATTTTAATGATTTCGAAAATCATGGGACACAGATCAAGAACCAGCGATCTGATAGGTATCTTCAAGAATGGAAACCATAATCCCAATATTTGCAGTTGATAGGGTGCCCGAGGGTAACCGTGCGCTACTTCAATGTTGTCATTTGGTTGGTGGTTTCATTTTTTTCAACCCTAGAAATGGGATGATAATCCTAACTGACGATCATATTTTTAGGGTTGAAACTGCAGACCAGTCATGGTTGGCTATAATTTTTCCTAGATTTTGAAAGCAAATTTGAATATTTCTGGTGTGCTCCATTCTGGATACATATTCAGTCCCAAAAATGCATCAATCCATCCGAATGTGTGTTTGTCTGAACATGGGATATCCTCACTTCCAAAGGGTTTTCATCCTTTTCCGAACTTCCATCAATGGTCATCTTGGAGTTAAAACCCCATTTTGTAGCAGGGATAAAACCAGCTGGACGGAACCATCTGACCACACCAAGAGATTCAACTTTACCAGCCCAAAATCAACTTACATATTTCAGCTTTGTGAATTGGTAATGATTTGCCGATTTGCCCATTTTAATTGCAACTACCCTCCAGTTTATACAAATCTAATCCCCGGAAAGATCTCCCAAATTCTCCTGGTCTTTTGCGGAACTCCCCATCTCTTCTCCAAGCCGTTTGAAAATACCAGGGTTTCCCCTGGGGTCCACGGTGCCCACAGTGCCCCTTTCTCCATGGCGGACTCCTCCACTTTCCCAGGCACCACGCAGCTCCTCCACTCGCACCTCGAACGGCTTCAGCCACTCGATCTCCAATCGCTCGTCTTCGCAAGTGCAGCCGTTGCGCTCGGGATCATTGAGGTACTGCTGGGCCCCTGGGGCTGGGGGAAGCTGGGTTTTTATTCCCCCCCGTTGATTTTTGAAACAGCCGCTACAGTACATGGTCCCAATGATGTGGAAATCCCGTACATCCACCATGGTTTCTGGGGTGTTGTCCCATGCTTCGATGCTTCGATGAGGATGCCACGATTGACGGGGAGCATGGGGAGCATGCGTGGGAACAAGCCTGTTGATTTGACCATAATTTCATGGGGGTTTTGTTATTTGTTTACCTTTTCACCGTCGATGCGGTGATGCAGGCACATGATGGTTGATTTATTGTCTCAGCCAGTGGTGTGATATGCTTTACATGGGGACTATCATGGTGCTGTCATGGGATATATCACCAACAGTGAAACAACACAGGAGAAAAAGTGGCTGGGATTTTGGTGCCTTAAGGCCGGAAAGCAGGCTGATGTTCGTGTAGAATTTCAAGTTGCCTCGTTTTAAGGTTTAAAAAAAAATAGTGCACCAAGAAGTAGTATTGCCCTGTTGGAATGCTTTTTGTCAACTGACGGCAGAGGGGTGTTGGGCACAACCACTTGTGAAGCCTTTATTTCCATACGAGGGTTGTTTTGGTACATTTTGAGCACCTTCCACCTGCAGTTCATCCTTTCGTTGCCAATTTCTGGTTCATTTCCTTTTCTGTTTGTAATCAGAACATGCATGCGCTTAGCTAAGCATAGTTAAACCATGTGAAATCAGTTTGGGGACACAGGCGTCCCAATGACTTGGTCAAGTTGGTCAAACATTGACCAACTTGGTCAAGTTGGTCAAAATTTGGTCAAGTTGGTGACAAATTGAGCAACTTAGTCATTTTTGACCAACCCAACCAACCTTGAACCAATTTGACCAAGTTGGTCAATTTTTTGACCAACTTGACCAACTTTTGACCAACTTGACCAACCTTTGACCAACTTGACCAAGTTGGTCAATTTTTCACCAACTTGACCAACTTTTGACCAAATTTGTAATTTTTGACCAACTTGACCAACTTTGGACCAAGTTTGACATTTTTGACCAACTTGACCAACTTTTGACCAACTTTTGGCCAAGTTGGTCATTTTTGAGCAACTTGACCAACTTTTGGCCAAATTGACCAAGTTGGTCATTTTTGACCAACTTGACCAACTTTTGACCAATTTTGTCATTTTTGACCAACTTGACCAACTTGACCAAGTTGGTCATTTTTCGCCAACTTGACAAACTTTTGACCAAGCTGGTCATTTTTGACCAACTTGACCAACTTTTGAATAACTTGATCAAGTTTGTTATTTTTGACCAACTTGCCAAAATTCGACTAAGTTCGTCATTTTGGACCAACTTGACCAACTTTTGACAAACTTTTGACCAAATTAGTCATTTTTGACCAACTTGACCAACTTTTGACCAACTTGATCAAGTTGGTCATTTTTGACCAACTTTTGACCAAGTTGGTCATTTTTTACCAACCTGGCAATTTTTTGACCAAATTGGTGATTTTTGACCAAGTTTGTAATTTTTGACCTGACCAAGTTTGTGATTTTTGACCAACTTGGTCAACTTTTGACCAAGTTGGTGATTTTTGACCAACTTGGTCAATTTTTGGCCAAGTTAGTGATTTTTGACCAATTTGGTCAACTTTTGACCAAGTTGGTAATTTTTGACCAACTTGGTCAATTTTTTACAAAGTTGGTGGTTTTTGACCAACTTTGCCAATTTTTGACCAAATTGGCCAAGTTGGTGATTTTTGACCAACTTGGTCAATTTTTGGCTAAGTTGGTGATTTTTGACCAACTTGGTCAATTTTTGACAAAGTTTGTCATTTTTGACCAATTTGACCAGATTGACAAACTTTTGACCAAGTTGGTCATTTTTGACCAACTTGACCAATTTTTGACCAACTTTACCAACTTTAACAACTTTTGGCCAACTTTACCAACTTTTGACCAACTTTACCAACTTGACCAACTTTTGACCAACTTTACCGACTTTTGACCAACTTGACCAACTTTTGACCAACTTTACCAACTTTTGACCAACTTGACCAACTTGACCAACTTGACCAGGGCACAAGAAGTGTTTGCAGCCAAATTTAGACCATTCAGAAGTAGTTTTCGTGGTAAATTTTGAAAATTTTACCAGCAAAACTACTTCTGAATGGTCTAAATTTGGCTGCAAACACTTCTTGTGCCCTTAAGTTGGTCAAGTTGGTCAAGTTGGTCAAAAAAGTTGGTAAAGTTGGTCAAAAGTTGGTCAAGTTGGTCAAAAGTCGGTAAAGTTGGTCAAAAGTTGGTAAAGTTGGTAAAGTTGGTCAAAAGTTGGTAAAGTTGGCCAAAAGTTGTTAAAGTTGGTAAAGTTGGTCAAAAATTGGTCAAGTTGGTCAAAAATGACCAACTTGGTCAAAAGTTTGTCAATCTGGTCAAATTGGTCAAAAATGACAAACTTTGTCAAAAATTGACCAAGTTGGTCAAAAATCACCAACTTAGCCAAAAATTAACCAAGTTGGTCAAAAATCACCAACTTGGCCAATTTGGTCAAAAATTGGCAAAGTTGGTCAAAAACCACCAACTTTGTAAAAAATTGACCAAGTTGGTCAAAAATTACCAACTTGGTCAAAAGTTGACCAAGTTGGTCAAAAATCACTAACTTCGCCAAAAATTGACCAAGTTGGTCAAAAATCACCAACTTGGTCAAAAGTTGACCAAGTTGGTCAAAAATCACAAACTTGGCCAAAAATTGACGAAGTTGGTCAAAAAACACCAACTTGGCCAATTTTTGGCCACGTTGGTCAAAAATGACCACCTTGGTCAAAAGTTGGTCAAGTTGGTCAAAAATTACCAACTTGGCCAACCGTTGGTCAAGTTGGTCAAAAAATCACCAACTTGGCCAACCGTTGGTCAAGTTGGTCAAGTTGGTCAAAAATCACCAACTTGGCCAGAAATTGACAAAATTTGTAAAAAATGACGAACTTGGCCAAAAATTGGCCAAGTTGGTCAAAAATGACCAACTTGGTCAAAAGTTGGTCAAGTTCGTGAAAAATCACCAACTTGGTCAAAAGTTTGCCAAGTTGGTCAAAAGTTGGTCAAGTTGGTCAAAAGTTGGTCAAGTTGATCAAAAATGACCAACTTGGTCAAAAGTCGTCAAGTTGGTCAAAATTTGACCAACTTGGTCAAATTGTTCATTAATTGGTCAAGTTGGTGAAAAATTGACCAACTTGGTCAAGTTGGTCAAAGGTTGGTCAAGTTGGTCAAAAGTTGGCCAAGTTTGTCAAAAATTGACCAACTTGGTCAAGTTGGTCAGAAATGGACCAACTTGGTCAAGTTGGTCAAAAGTTTGTCAAGTTGGTTAAAAAATGACCAACTTGGTGAAGTAAGTCAAGAGTTGGTCAAGTTGGTCAGAAATTGACCAACTTGGTCATGCTGGTGAAAAATTGTTCAAGTTGCTCAAAAGTTGGTCAGGTTGGTCAAAAATTGATTAAGTTCGGCAAAAATGTGAACCTTAACTGATCTTCACATGTGTGAAATCAAGCTGGACAATGTGACCAATCAAATCGTGGTTGAGATGAAAGCGGACCGCGGGTGACCCCTGGGGGTAAACACCACCATTTTTGCAGTGCTCCTCTGCACAAGAAATATGTAAATGTTCATATAGTCCCCAAGTTATGATGCCTAAAAATAGTGCAATCCAAAGTTTTTTATGTTTCAGGAATTAGCACCACAAGAAGTAGTTGAGACACTTTTCAAAGCGTTTTTTCATGTACCACCCAGCCGATTTTCAAAAGGTAGGCCCAAACACTTGTGGCCTCCTTAAAACATAGCCACTCGAAAGTCTACAGATGTTCGCAGTAAAAAAACACGAATTTCCAATTCCTTATACAACCACTTTTGGAACTCACAAGCATGCAGGAGCCAGATTCCAAGTTGAACTTCCATTCAAGACTTAGGGAATCGCAGAGTTTTAGTGCCCGCCGATTTTAAGTATTATATAACCATCGTAGAGATATCCAACTTTGACTCATACCCATGTAGGGGCATCTAGATTGGAGACCAGGTTTGAAACGCATCGTTTTTCTGATTATCAAAGCTGTCTCAGAGTCTTGACGCGAGGGGTTTGATGGATTTCAGATTTCAGGGATTTCAGACCAATGAGAAAACAGTGACCCACGTACCTACTTACTGTTTGGGTTTGTTAAAGATGACCCACTGGGTTTGTTTCTTGCTGTCCAAACCATGGGATCCCAGTTCCATGGGATGCCTGTCCCCGGGATCAGCTGGGATGCCTGCGCTCATCGCTGCCAGGGAGCACCAGGAGAAACTTCTACAAGCCAGGACTTGAATCGGTTAGGTCAAGCTTAGGCAGATCGGGAGCAAAGATGATCCTTTGCTTCCCAGGATTTGTTGTTGAAACATGCCGTTTCACTGATATACATATACATTATACATATACGTCACATATCCATATACATACACATACACACACATACATAGATACATAGATACATAGATACATAGATACAAAGATACAAAGATGCAAAGATACAAAGATACATCTTTCTTAGATAGATAGATAGATAGATAGGTAGATAGATAGATAGATAGATAGTTAGATAGATAGAAAGATAGATAGATAGATAGATAGATACATAGATAGATAGATAGATAGATAGAGATAGATAGATAGATAGATAGATGCATGCATGCATGCATGCATGCATGCATACATACATACATACATACTGTAAATATAAATATATATATTTATATACATACAGTATTATACGGATGTGTGTCCATGGCGGCCTTCATTGCAGAAGGAAGGCTGGCGGCAGCAAATGGACGAAATCCGGGCCGTCAGGACCATCGAGCAGCTGCTGTTTGCTCGTTCGCAAATGGCGGCCCCGTTTCTGGGACCAGGGTGTCAGGGTGTTGCATACACAGTCAGCCCTCCTCTGCGTGCAGTGAGTCGCAGAGACTCCGGAACTTTCGTTTGTTTTTCTGGCAGTGGGCTTGACAAAGCCTCATCCAAGTTTCACAGTATATATTTATATAATTATACATAGATACATAGATACACAGCAACATAGATACATAGATACATGCATGCTTGTATGCATACATACACATACATACACATACATACATACACATATACATTTGCATTTACATATACGTACATATACATACATATACATATACACACATGTACATATACATACACACATACATATACATACATATACATACATATACGTACATATACATACATATACGTACATATACATACAAACAAACAAACAAACAAACAAACACACAAACAAACAAACAAGCAAGCAAACAAACAAACAAACATACATACATACATACACACATACATACATACACACATACATACATACACACATACATACATACATACATACATATACATACATATAAGACATATAAGACATATACATGGCCCAGTTTCTGGTGGTGCCCCCTCGCCCCGAGATGGTGATGGTCCCTATACGTATATGTAACTTATACATGTATTTATACATGTATTTATACATGCATATGTCTATGCATCCCTTCCCCCCTGTGGATGTGGTGGGGTTGGGGAGGTGAGGGGTAACCGTGAACACGAGACACGGGACCATATGTCTATGTGTGTACACACACATATATATATATATGTACATATATATATACATAAATATTTACATAAATTTATATTTAGATACATACATATAAGAATAATTAAAAAACGTGTATATGTAAATGCATATATATATATATGTATACACATAAATATATATATATATATATATATCGAGCAGGAGAAGGAGTTTCTTCACTGGTTCTTAGGCACGAACAGAGCAAAGACAGGTCCATGGAGTTGAACGCATTGAACAAGCCACAGTGACCTTCATTCCTTCTATGTTTTCCTTATCTATGTGGATGTGCATCAACACCTCAATACAAAATGCGGTTTCTCCGGTTTGTAGCCGGGTTCCTACCATGGTTCTTAGCCACATATCCACTAAGATATTCATGGCAGTTTCATTCTCAAACGCTGCTTCATGAACCCAATGAAAGTTCGATCCGACAAAAAACGCACACGTGAATCCGTACAGGTTCGAACTTTACCGCAATTCAACTGCCACCCATAGAAAACGTGACTGGACCAACCTGGCTGCTCCAAAGGTGAACTTGGCCCAACCTTTGAAACGACCAACTCGCTTTGTGCAACTTTCCCGACCTTTGATCTGCCAGTCCCAGAATTTCGTGACGCGAAAATTTAAAGGTTTTCACCGGCTTCACTGTCTTGGTACAAACTCCGAGTTGCAGGATTCCCATGGTGGTGGACGGCAGCGACTTGGTCGATCTGGATGCCCAAGATCTCTTGGACGTGCTCAGTTCGTGGGAGGGCCAGAGACCCCCCGTGCCCCCGGGCATGCGCGTGGCGTGTGCGCCGGACCGGCGCAAGCACGAGGAGTTGGGGGGGTTGGGGGTCAGTTGGGGGCGGTTGGATGGCAACATTTTCTGGGGGTTTAACCAACAAACGTGTGGATTTGACGTGATGTAACCATCTCAAGTGGAGATATCCTTGGGATCATGACCAGCCGGTGGTTTTTGATCTATTTTCGATATTCCATCGTACCTGATGATCCCGAGCAACGAGCATAGTTGGAGAGGATGAAACCAGTTAGTTCTGCTGTTCAAAAAAATACCGGGCGTGGAAAACCCCAAGGCACCTGGGCTTTTGATGGGGTAAATATGGTTTAATATGGGTAAATACGGGTAAATGGGGAGAACTGGGCATGTTGGTAAATACGGGTAAAACTCCATGTACGGACCGGATGTCCCCAGTCCATATGTATATTTTTAAAGCATGGTATCATGCACCTGGGGCCCATGTCTCTCTTGTTTTGTATGCCTCGACCCATAGAATAATTAGGTCAAAATTGGGTACCCCAGAAAGTGGATACTAAAGATGAAGTAACATCTGTGGTCCCCCAAGTCGTTAATATATTGAACCATGCCATTTTTTAAAGATATGCAATATAAACCCTTTGATAATTTCACATAGCTATGGAAATCACAATTTAAACAGGGAAATTATAAATGTTCAGACACATACGTATCAATATATACACATATTGTAGAGAAAATATGGACTGTTTAACAATATGCCCATTTCATTGAGTGTTTTCTTGACATTTCTATACTCTATCTACTCCAGGGTGACTATATGTCTAGACATGTATATTGTACATACTTACACAAGGTGGTGCTCCCCCAGTTGTAAGTTGGTTGGTTTGTCCCCCATAACCACCTGAACTATAGACATGTCTAGCATAAACCAATTGCTAAGCCAAGTTATTAACGAACTTCACCGTCATGAATCATCCCTAAATCCCAATAATTCGCTTCTTTTCCTGGGTGAAATCAACCTATTTTTCTGGTTTCAACTGCGGTACCACCTCGGAGTTCGTTTCTGACGCCAGGCGCAGCTTAAAAACCTGAGTCGCTACCGGGAGGAGGTGACTGGTGGGGAAATCTTCAGAATTTTGTGATCCATGGGATATACATGGGATATACTTGGGATATATACATGGATATCAGTTGGGATATATGATGGGATATACCCCATCATCATCCATTTCACTATCACTATAATATGATATACCATTATCACTATACTTGGGAGATAATTCCATGATACACTATTATCACTACAATCACATATGTTGGGATATGAGATATAATGGGATAGAATGGGAGAGAATGTGCTACAATAGGAGATAATTGAATATATTGGGATATCATGAGATGTGGAATACACTGACTTAATGGGATATACTTGCGATATACAGCAATCATATATGTTGGGATATGAGGCTTTTTGGTCCGGCGGGTGCAAGGTGGAGCAGCACCCGGAAACAGTCGCTGAAGAGGTGGAAATAAAACGCTTGGAACATGAGCAATGGCTCGACTATCGTGAGATCAGTGAAGGCTTTAGCGGCGGAAGGCTTGATGGTTGATGGTTTGATGGTTGATGGTTTGATTGCAAAAATGCCGAGAGTTTTATTCTATGTTCTGCAATGGATGTGGCTCGCAATTTTGCTTGTCGTCCATCTCTTCCATCTTGCCTGGAGTGATCTAACATGGTGAAGTGAAGGCGCCATTTTAGCAATGCAGAAATCCGAGAGTAGGAGCAGCCAATGAATCTTCCACTTCGCTGCACAACATGCAGCCGTAGATTTCTGGTTTTGATGCGACCCGGTGACCGCAGCCCACTGGCGTGGCGGTTCTGAGGGCTCCGAGGGTTCCAAGGGCTCCGAGGGCTCAGCCGTAGTGTAGTGGTGAAGAACACGGAGCTTTGGATCCATGGTAACATCTATGAACATCTCTGGTCCATGTTTCAAAAACTCCGTAGAGAATTGGGAGAAAATGAAAAGGTGAAGATGTACATGGAAGGTTTAGGCTGTTTCACATGGATCCAAGTCTCAAAGGTTTGCGAGGTCTTGGCTTTGGCCAATGGCTGATGTGAAACTCTCTCAGCATCAGCGCCAGCGCTGTCGGCAAGACAGAAAGTCATTGCCATTGTCGATTGTAGCTGGTTGGTGGTTTCAAACATGTTTTATTTTCCATACATGGGATAATCCTTCCCATTGACTTTCATATTTTTCAAGATGGTTCAAACCACCAACCAGGTAGTTATCGCATTCTGACGATAATGTCTCCAGCATTTTGTAGACCAGCTAAGTGGACGCGGCGCGTTGCCAAAAAAAACCAAGGTTCACCTGTATTTATACCGACCCGACCCCAAGTTGAGGCTTGTAACACGCCAGATGTAGAGGGCTCCCCCATGCCCATAAAATGAAGGCTGGCAAGGTTCAACCAGGATGTGGAAAAGATGTAACAAATGGTGTTTCTCGCATTATTTCCAGGTTTTCAACTGTTTGAAGTCGATGGCGTCCGCGCCGTCGCCGGGCATATGGGCAACTTCCTGATAGTCTTAGCATGTTGCAATCCTTTTGTCAATGAAACTGAGCAATATATGATATGTATGAGATATATATATATTTGTGCACTTTTGTTTGTTGTATATACAATATATTCATTTATACAGATGTGCACAGCTCTCACACCCAGATCTTTAGCTGTTTTTGTGTGACTTCAAGTGTAGTCCCAAGTGCATTTGTGAAGATTTCTTTGAGGAAATCCTCAGTACAGATTTTCTCCAAATTGGTATCATCGCTAGTCACACCTTGTTGTTACCAATACTGCAACCAAGCCGTGCTTCTCGGACTTCTCATTTGTTTGCTGAGCGCACCCATGCTTGAAAGGGAGATCCTAGTTTCCAGTGGGGAGCAGTTGCGCACGATTTTTTCCTCATAGAACGCAGTAGCTTTTGTACTAGAAGGAGTTCCATTTCTGAACAGGATCATGAATCCCAGCTGTTTTGATGTTAGGGGTACAGGGTTTTGAACTATCCCTATCTAGACATGTGCTTGGGACATTTGTCAGGGTATGGAGTGATTTTTTTTGGCTAGCGCAACGGACTTTGGTCGTGCTTTTCCCCTGCTGATTGCAGCAGAATTCTGTTTTCGCAGCTGTCCAAGCTGCTGCAAATGCCGTGGCAAGCTGTGCCGGTGCAAGGTGAACCCCATCCAGAGACACGTTTGCGCAGAGTTTTTTCTGCACATGTCTTTGCATTGTTATATATTGTGAAGTTAACCAAATAGTTTTTTTAGCCAAATATTATTTAAATATATGTATATGCATATGTAGGTGTGTATATATATATACATGCACACACATACAGACATGCGCACACACATACATACATACATACATGCATGCATGCATACATACATACATACATACATACATACATACATATACATACATACATACATACATACATACATACATACATACATACATACATACATACATACATACATACACATATACATATACATATACATATACATATAAGAATACATACATACATACATACATACATACACATACACATACACATACACATACACATATACATATACATATACATATACATATACATATACATACATATATGTACATACATACATACATACATTCATTCATACAAACAAACAAACATACATACATACATACATATATACATATATACACGTACATACATATATATATATATACACGTACATACATACATACACGTATATACATACATACATACACGTACATACATACATACATACATAAATACATACATACATACGCATACATACATACATGCATACATACATACTTACATACACGTACATACATATATACACGTACATACATACATACATACACGTACATACATATATACACGTATATACATACATACATACACGTACATACATACATACATAAATACATAGATACATACACACATACCCACATACATACATACATACTTACATACACGTACATACATATATACACGTACATACATACATACATACATACATACATGCATACATACATACATACATACATACATGCATACATACATACATACATACACGTACATACATATATACACGTACATACATACATACATACATACATTTTATCACATGTATATACATAGTAATAATTATGATACGTATTCAATAATCTATAGATTCTCAAATTCTAGTAGATGAACGCGCGTCTACTCTACTTATGTACGCGCGGATTCAACCAACAGAAACATGCATTCTTTAAGCGGCAAAAGAATGGGTTTTGAACCACCAAAAAATGGTAATTTTCAATGGTTTTCCATTGTTTTTCCATGAGAAAACGAGGTTTCCACAATGGACAATGGGACAGCAACAAAACTTTAACTTCAACAAGGAGAGGGATTCAACTTCGAAAGAATCAAAATGGAACCAACCATCACACAATGTACTCAGCGTTCCTGATTTTTTTTAAAACTTAGCATTGGACCATGAAGCATTTGGTTTTTCTAGACCACGTGGACATGTTTTTTTCAACAGCCTTTACAAAGGAAACTGAGTGGGAAATTTTCCACCATTGAGGTGTACCAGGTAGATAGACAAGTGTCTAGAATCCCAGCAGAATTCCCATTCCACATATCTCACCAGGCACGGCTCTGTCTGAGAAATTGGACCATTGGAGGGAAGACTTGGAAACCTTGTGGTGACACCCTATGGTTTCATGTCAAAATTCTGGGGCCACTTCAATGACAAAATTCCGTGGCCACTCCAATGAAATACAATGCAAAGCTTGGGCTTTGCTGGCTGATTCTTTCAGCCATCTTGGGCGCCATCCGTTTTGTCCCTATGTAGGGTTCAAAGCCGTCTTCAGTTAGGATTCAAGTTGAGCTGCCAAGAAACGGAGAAGTTCCTGTTTTTGCACGTGTGTGTTTGTATATGCCCATGCTGACTGCACATACTGGGTACCTTCCTCAGCGTAAGGTCCTCAACCCATTCAACTGTAGATTTATCCATCATGCATCCAACAGTTGTTGTTGTAATTACAAACCAATTTACCATGTAGTAAATAAATTAATAAATCATAATGAATCAATATATATATATATATATACATAAACCCTGAAAATAACTCATTTGCAGTGGAAACTGGTCTTCCAACCCCTATCTGGCAGGGTCTATGTTAATTTACTGGAGCCTTGATTCTTGTTGATTATATACACTAGTGAAATCCCACCAGCCTAAAGTGAAAATATACAGAAATATACAGGAATGAGTAATTTCTGATCTATTTTTTGTTTTTTCTGACACACCAATATTGGTTTGATTCTGGACATATTCCTGAATTGTTTCTGAACTATTTCTGATTATTTTCTGAATTATTTCTGGACCCCTGCCTTGTGACTTGGATGTACCCAGCGATGTGATACCGCGATCATGTTTTCTTGTTGTGTTGACAGTTATACATGCAGCAATGTTTCAAAATGTGGAAAAAGTGGAAGTTGTCTCCAAAATCAGTTCTTTTTTTCGAAATATGTTGTTTTTTGAAACAAATCGGATAAACCTGGTGTTTCAGATATTTTTTGTTTTTTTTCAAGTTTTTTCTATTTTTGTGTTTCAGGCGCGTGTTTGAATCAGAAATAAATCAGAAAACTCAGAAATTGAATATTTCCAGGATTTGGCCTTATGGCTGAGGAGGGGTTTCTTCCAACATACACATTTTATCTCATTCTTGACAGGTAGAGGAGGTAACCACTCCGTTTTCAATGTGATTTTCACATCGTGCAAGCAGAAATGCTTTTGATGGCTGGTGGCACCCGTATCCATGATCCACAGCTGCCAAAACCAGGACAGCTCGTGACTCGTGGTCCAAAAACTGCCCGGTTTCGGCGCCGGGCGAGGTGTTGCAACGATTTCTGTTCCAAACGAGATCTACTGGGGATATCTGGGGATATATTGGCTAACAGTCTGGGGCAATGATGCGGGATGCTTGAATGTCCATCCCACGAAATGTAAGCGGATTGTAAGCCATATATAGCTGGGCATGTCCTATCAGCGGGTCATCCCACGGTTATTATCTACGGATCCTAGCTGGGATGCACCCTAAAGTTGTATGCAATGGCAGATCACCAACGATTTGCACGGGCTTTGTTTGAACAGGGACACTCCAATTCCTATGGTCTATCATCCTCCTTTTACCATGCTCATCTGACTCTCGAAGCCACAGTTGGAATAGGCTCAGCTGATATCAAACTTGTGGAAGCCACGAAAAACATGCGTTTCTCCAAGAAAAAAACTGAGTTTGGTGAAGTTGGCCCAGCGTTGACAGGCTGGCTGAAGTGATGGAGGGGCCACGCATCGATACCACGGTGGTCAAAGGCTTTTGGCAAGATCAGTGCTACCGGAATAGGCAGGGCGTCCCTGAATCCGGGCAACAAAATAGCCTGGGTGACCAGACCACACATGAATTAGCTTGTGAAACCTTAACCTATATTGAACACAACTAAAAAACAAAAAAAAACAAAAAAAAAAACTATGTCCCAGCCACTCATGGACCCCCGTTGACTTTTTGTTTGTTTTTTTGTGTTTTCTCGAGGGTTTTTGCAACTTCTGACCAAAATTCCCCAAAAAACAAACCAATGGAGTCCATGGGTGAGGCTTAACTCCATTAAGGAATAACAGTTGCTATTCTTGCATCCTTAATGGAGTTAAGCCTCACCCTCATTATTCTGCATAAGAGTTGCTCTAAGGAAAGATGTCGATTCCCAAAAATGATGTTTAGTTCAGTTGTTTCACTCATATGGAAGGGCTTATTGCAATACATGCAATCATGTCTCTTCCACCAAAATATTATACATACACTTCTACTTCACAATCATGTTTCATTACCTTGTCTGCAAGGCAAGTCTTTTGAAGAAGTGAAGTCTCTCCGTTAAAAGCAAATGCCATGCAGAAAAATGAGAATGAGGCTTAAATTCATGAAAGCATGTATTGCATGTTTCCACACATTATAGTTTTCTTGCAAGAATATTGCTTCTTCAGTGCTTCTTATTTAAGGGAATATAAGGCAGATTGCAACCTGTAAGCAGCATTTTCCTTCAACAGAAATCTTTCTTGTTTCAAGGAATGCTGCAATGTGCATCGATCGACCATTGCACCTTTTGACAGCAGTACTGAATGTCAATCACACACTGCATATATTGTAGGAATCTGATGTTTTGAAAAACATACTGTATGATCGAAGGCAGGCTGAATATTACTATGAAAGGAAGACTACACTTCTACAGAAAGGAACGCTGCATGTTTAGAGGACTGCTCAATATTTGTAGGGATACTCTGTCTTGAAAGAAGCAATGCATTCTGAATGCCTCATAACTTTTGCCAAGGGAACACTATATCTTGTAGATGAATGCCTCATAATGTGCATGGGTGCTTAAAGGGTTGCATTTGCAGCTGTTTCAAAATGACTTGGCTTAATAGGGTGTGGTAATCTCTTAATACTATTTCCCCTCCACCGACGATATGTAATTTTTACTGTTGTTTATGGCTGGCATCTTGCTGGCATCTTCATTTGGAACATTCTGGCAGAGACATGATGTGCATGATGTGCATGATGTGCATGAAGAAGCACCAACAACTCCAACAACTTCCACAGCCCCCCGCTGTCCATTAATGTCTCAACTGGTGATGGTGAAACTGGCGCCTTCGAAACTTGTGGATAGCATCCCAGACCTGCTGAAGTCGTTGGTGGTGGGGGGTTCAATCTCGATTTTTGCATATCTCAGGTCGAATTGGATATAAACATGGGGTCTACCGAGAAAAATGATCTTTTAATTAAGATTTATACCTATGTTAGATTATAACAATGACCCAGGATCAATAATTTATACCCAAGAACCACATGACATCGGGTCATTTTCCTTTTTTTTCGTGGTCAACTCGGAGCATTTCAGTTGCCCGGGACCCGCATCTCCTAGCTGAATCAGGCGCGCTGCAGCGCTGCGTTGCTCCAATGGTGCTTTGCGGATCACAGGCGATGGCTTGTCTGCCACGTTTTCGGAGGCGGGAATTGAAACCCAGATTTTGGGGGATTTCAAGATGGGCTTCCTGGGATTTCACCTGCAAAAGTGCAATTCACAGACGTCATCAGAAAAAAAACACAGCAAAACCAAACAAACATTGGAAGAGCAGGTGATTCACCAGGCATGAGGTTTCCTAAGTCATGAGGGGTACCCTATTAAAATGGATGGTTTATCATTGAAGATCCCTGGCAAAAAATTGATGATTTGAGGATACCTTCGTGGGTTGATTCTCCTAGGGGATCCACCAGGTGCTTCAGGTCTGCTCCACACGAGACGCCTTCGCAGGTGTGAGGCGAGACACGATGCAAAGCAAAAAAACATCAACTTCGTTCAACTTTCCTCGGAAAAAGCTCTCATTGTTGGTAAAGTTACAGTAAAGTTAAAGTTGACCAGAAAAAGTTCTCATTGTTGGTAAAGTTGCAGTAAAGTTAAAGTTGACCAGAACAACAAGTGTTCATGATTGGTAAAGTTACAGTAAAGTTCTGATTGTTGGTCATTTCCCATCCCTTCAAGTTCTCGAATGCAAAAATAAAACAACATCAGAGAAAGCAGTGCTTGTTCCTGTTGGTCACTTTCCACCCAAAAGTTCCCATCCTTCACTGGTTCAACATAGGAACTTTGAAACAAGGAGAATTTACCATGCCTCCAACTGACACTTCGATCCTGAGAACAGCCGATATTGAGATGAACGTAGCATTTCAACCCCCTACGTGTGGCGGTTGGGGGTTCGCTTGGAGGATCCATGTTAGTTGGGGGGATGGTACAGTACCTGAAGAAAGTGCATTTTTGCCATTAAAATTATGCTCCCAATCAAAGGTTTGTTGAGAGTAACCTTCCTTTGACAGGTTCATTTCCAGAGGATAATCCTCCCTCTCTTTCTTGGAATTCACCCTTGATTGATTCGGGAGCTATTTCAATCCTGATTTTTGTGAATCAGGGCCCGTTGCTGAGGAAGACTGGAGTGGGGGGTTGATGTTTGCAAAGGAGGCGGTTTCATGGACTGTGTTTCGACATCCGTGATGCATACATACAGTATGTCGACATAAAGAAACTCTTCCCTACCGATCTTGTTTAATTATATGGCAATGTATATGTATATACGAGTATGCATATAGTGTATATATATATATATATGTATATATATATATATCATTATACATCATTATATATCTAATATGCAATGCATGTGTAAGCTCCAATATGTAAAACATGTATTTAGATATTAATCGAAGGAGGTGGGAAGAGTCAGAGAGGAGAAGAGCAGAAGAGAGAAGATCAGAGAAGAGAAAGGGTGAGAAGAATGAAGATGCAGGTGCGCGAAAAGGTAGAAAAGTCGCGATTCATTGTGTTTTCCAATGACTTGTGGCTGCGGAGGGTCGAAAAGTAGGCTCGCTAAAGCGGCGGGTGCAGAGCCATCTGGGGAGATGAGAGATGAAAAATTGCACGCCTTTGTGGCGCGAAGCACATTTCCAAGTCAACATGTACAAAACAAACCAGCTTTGGAGCACTTTTTGAAGTTGACATGTTGGAAAAGTGCGCGCCGGTGTGGCGCGAAGCACATTTCGAAGTCAAAATGTACAAAGCACCTCAGTGTCGGACCGCTTCCGTGTGGGCTGAAAAGCCGGCGGTGATCAAGGCGCAGTGAGGAAGGTGAAGCCACCTGAGGAAGCAGTCGTCACATGCCCATCTATATCTGGGTTTGGGGTTAACAGCCCTGGGCTGAAGCCTTCCAGCTCTTGCTGCGCGCGGGTCAGGCTTGACCTGAGCCTGGCTCCACGGAACAAAGTTCCTGCTGGACGGCGGGAGATTCTTTTTCATCTTCCCACTGAATGTATATAAAGTTTACGGGGGTAGGAATTTAGATTCGTCTTCACCTTCCCACTTGAATGTAAAGTTAAACGGGTGTGGGCATTTAGATTTTTCATCATCTTCCCAGCTGACAGCAAAGTAAAACGGGGGTGGGAATTTAGATCCTTCTCCATCTTCCTAATTGAACGTGCAGTTTAGAGGGGTGGGAATTATATCAGCTTCTTCTTCGTCATCTTCCCAAGTGACTAAAGTTTGCGAGGGTGGGAATTCAGTTTCTTCTTCGTGCCCCCACTGAAAGACAGCGTAATAAATGCTGAATAGGGATGGGAACCAACCACGTTGCAAAGGCAAAGCCCAGGCGTTGCATATATATATATATACATATATATATACACGTATACATACGTATACATATAATATATACATATGTATGTAATGTAATGTAATGTAATGTAATGTCATGTCATGTCATGTAATGTAATGTAATGTAATGTATGTATGTATGTAATGTGATGTAACGTAATGTAATGTAATGTAACGTAATGTAATGTAATTAATGCATGTATGTATGTATGAATGCATGTATGTACGTATGTATGTATGTATGTATGTGTGAATGTAATGTAATGTAATGTGATGTATGTATGTAATGTATGTAATATATGTAATGTATGTAATGTAAGTATGTAATGTAATGTAATGTAATGTAATGTAATGTAATGTATGTAATATATGTAATGTATGTAATTTAATGTAATGTAATGTAAGGTAAGTATGTATGTATGTAATGTAATGTAATGTAATGTAATGCAATGCAATGTAATGTAATGTAATATAATATAATGCAATGTATGTATGCATACTATGTATACTATGTATACCATGTATACATATAAATCGTGCGTATACAATAAATTAGTATGTAAAAATAACATGTTCACATTTATGTATACACATAATATGTATACACATAATATGTATACACATCATAAGTATATATATATATATGTATTTATATATTTTTGGACGTGTATACATGTATATATATATTTACAATTTGTATATTGGTATGTCTATGTAAATAATACGAATTTTATGTAGTTAAATATATGTACATATTCTGTATGTGCGCCGGAAATATGTGTATACGTACTATATTATACTCATTTATTTTCTCTTTCCCTCTCTCTCTCTATATATATATATATTTATAGAGACATGATTATATATAGATATATACATATTCTATTTACATAAGATGCATGTCATCTGAATACGTTATTTTTGTCAATAAAAGAACTATATTTATATATTATGTACACATCTAAACAATTACATTCAGTTGCATTCTGCTACATACTAGTACATACAATTACCTACATACAATTACATGCATACAAGTACCTACAACTACTTGCATGCAATTACATTACACTGCATGCCTTCACCTTACCTTGCCTTACCTTACCTTACATGCATACGCTCCATTAAGCCAGCATATTTACCTACATGCACCTTGTCTCTTTTAAGTGGGATGTCCTTACTTTGAGTCAACACGCTCCTTTAGTCGCTCTGTGAGGGCCAATGGCGAATTGTGGACCTGGAATTCCTTGGAGCCTTGGGCGCGGGGTGCTGTGCGGGTTGGCTTGACTCCCGGGGTGTATAAAGGAGAGAGAGCACATACGGGACAGAATTTACTGGGATTCATACAAGGTGGTGCCCCATAGTTAGCTAAGTTGGTTTATAACTCCCATAACTATGGTTTATAGGTGATATATCTATAGTTAATGGGATTATAAACCAACTTATAACTGGGGGGCACCACCTTGTAGAGGATAAACATCTAGGATATACTGGGAAGATGGCTATGAAACCAACAAAATCAGGGTTGCTCCAACTCATTGCAGGGAAAAGGGTAGCCAGTTTTGGGGGATAAGTTGGCCATCTCGCCTCTGTATTTACCAAACTTACAACCCTTGTACCTGGGGTGTTCGGAGCAATCCTGTTCAATATTAGGAAGCCTAGGTAAGATTCCACATGATTCCTGAAATTAAACTACGCTTAGGACGCAATGTGCCGGCGAAGAAAAAACTTGGGTATTACTCTCTTGGTGATTCCCCACCAGGAATTCTGGCTTTAGCTCACCCAAATAAATAAGTGGACAACCACCTTCCTTATTTACTTCACTTCACTTCACTTGACTTCACTTCACTCCACTTCACACTTAAGTTAAGTTAACTTAATTTAACTTACTTGCTTACCCTACTTGTAACCTGGATTTACAAAAGGTGGTTTTGATTTTCCCCAGTGGCTAATCAACTATTTGTGGAATCTACTCTTTAAAATAAAGATCACCTCAAGCAAATCGAAATAAAACTGTCAGGCAGCTTCAAGTTTGATTGCTGCTCAAGCAAATCAACGGCTGAGAGATTGTGCATCACAGCATCAGCAAACATCTGCTTCTTAAAGCAAGCATTCTTGCGGGTCTCATGTTTTACGCCCCCTATCTTAATGTCAGCCCCAACCCTACCAGTCAGCAGATGTTTGGGAAGTTTTGGGCAAGATCTCTGTCGTTGATTTTCGGTTCTGAAGCCAGATGCTTACGCAAGACTTGCGGACGACTTTGCCAAGGCCTTGGTGGAGGTTCAAGATGCCAAAGAGATTGCTCCAGCACTGGCACAAGTTACTGCAACACTTCTTGGGACAACCGTTTGGTGGAAGCTGCAGTCATCTTGCCGAGCGTGCAACTCAGGCACACAATCACTTAGCTATACTTTGGCAAAGCTGGTTGGCTTGTCGTGTCGTAGTGGTCTACAGCGATGCCTTGCAAGTATGCTGCGTGGACACGGCTAGGGCATTGACCACTTGAGCCCGGAGGTGGTCCCCGCTGCCGCTTTCCTCCTGTTTGATCTTTTTGTTTACATGCTTAGGGTCTCTGTGCGTAAGTACTCATGCCAATCATTTCTTTTTTTTCCTTCTAGTAGTTGACGAGGCTGACAAGGAGCCGAGCCGCTACTTAATGTATTGCGATGCTTTGCATGGAAGCCGGCAGACAATACCTATGTCGGTTGCCGCGTGCGAGGTGCTTGCCACCGCCTATTGTATCCTGTGGAGCTCAGGACAAGCAGGGACTTCTCCTTTGGACTAGCCGGGGCTGCGCGTAGCCGCCCCTCAGACTTAGAACTCGTGCGCGATATGCCCCCTATCTTGATCCTCGTGCTGTAAAGGCTGTCTCTTTTCAGTGCCACATTCGCATGGTTGTGGCCTTGGAAGGATCAAACTGTGAGTTGATGTTCCCCACCAGCTGTTGTGATATCTGTGATATCCCTCTTCTTGCAAGCGCCGCTGTGAATATTTTTGACTATGTTTGTTTCATTTTATCTCTTCTTGCAGCTGTGTAAAAGTAAGC